CATACATTTCTACTATTCCTAGAATCTTTAGTATTGAAAATGACATATACGGGTTCTCGTTTTTTATGGCCCTCATATAACAATACCTCCGAAATTTGGATCACTTTCTTCAACAAAATTGGCTGTAATTTATTTTTGGATTATTGTTATTACTAGGTATCCTTACCAAAAATTAATATGGAGCCATATAACGGCAGCCCTTATTATTCGGTATTTTAGGCACGTTTTCAACCAAATTGACACCAATTTGATATATTAGATGCTGATTTGGTATCAAAGCTTCCTACCAAAAATGTAACATTGCATATTAAATTTAAAAAAATTAAATCGGAATTGAGTCCCCCTGGATTTCCTCGTATTAATGCTTGGACATGTTTCACTTTTATGCATCAGTGTCACAGTCAAGGCCGCAGCATATTTTTCAAGAGCTTTCAAAACTCTTAAAAGTAACTCTTGTTTGTAGTGCAACCCAATTTCGCATACTTCCCTTCCAATACAAATATAATTCAATTTAGTTTTTATCAAAATCGGACGATAGTAAATAATCGAAATCAATATTTTACCCAAACTTTCAAATATATATTCAGTCTCCTCGATACACAATTTATCATAAATAAATATTTTTATTTACGATTTTAAATCATAAAAATAATATTTTTTTTTCTTCTTTCCTGACATTTCTTATAAAGATTTTATTTTATTGCACATAAAATTCAACCCAAATATAAAACTTGGTATACCCATATTTAAAACAAAAATGGTACTCACACGTGTAATTGTTCTCTGAATATTCAATGTAATTTTGTTGTATCTGCTTTTACATTCAACCCAAACAATTTTTTAAAATAAAAGTGTTAAACTGGCAAATCATGTTGTTTATTAAGGTAAGCCTCCAACCTAAAAATATTAAACCCTTTCTCATTCTTTTCCCCATCAAAAAATCAATAAGATTGACACACATTTTCTGGGCAGAAAAAAACCTTCCCTCTCCCCGCAAATATCAATTTCAATATAAAAACAATTTAACGCCATTGAATCTAAGGTCTAAATGTTTGATTGGCTTCCATTTCAATCCTTTTTCTTTCTTTGGATACATCATAAAATTTAAGCTTTAAATGCGGATGCTAACCAAAGAAACCACCACATATGATTATAATGTTCTGCATGCCAAAAAAGAGGTTTTAAGGATTTCACACACATTCCGACAGACAGTCTGTATTTCTTTATGACATAAACATGAATGTTCGGGGAGGAGGTAAGGTTATTTTCTTGTTGTAAAATATTCCAAAGGGATATTTTACGGCCTTTTAAAAGGAAACTTTTTTCCTTATGGCTGTTACATTTAAGGAAACGTGTCTTAACCCCAAGGTGTAACAACCATATCATCGTCAACTGTTTTCGGAAAGCCACGACTGAGGTTATAAACCATATGCCAAAGTAATGGAAAAAGCTTTTAACATGAATTATAAATAGCAAATGTTTATGCCAAACGAAAAATATTTCTCTTTTAGCTAAAATAAAGGAAGAAGAAGAAAACATGGAATCCCAAAGTTTATGTTAGAAATTGTTTTCGTATTATAGATTGCCTTTTAAATTTAATGTTTTGAGGTTAGAAAAGTTTTTGCTTGGCCAGAAAATGATAAATAAATCTAAAATATTGAATTCTTCGAAATAAAAAAAAAACTTTTGGGAAACATTTGAAATACATAAAATAAATTTTAAAAGCATAAGATAACTTGCAAGTATCTATTATTTTTAATTTTGAAAATGACAAAGTTATAAATTCCAAAAGTTCTACAAAAATTTTTATTCAATTTTGATCAATTGCCATATACATATAGAAAAAGAAATAAAAATTATTATATTGTTCCTAAAAGCTTTCAATTTTTGAGAAATACTCCTCTTAAGCGCCTGGAAATGTTTCATTATCACTATCAGGGCGACCGCATTCACTTTGTGTTTTTACAACGCTTTCATAATTAATTGTTCGATGTCAACGTATCGTTTAAGCAACCACTCTTCAGACATAAAGGTTTAGACCTTTAGAGAACTGATATTAACGGAGGAGGCCAAACCAAACCGCACTAAAAGCCCCAAACCCGACAATGAGCCACCACAAAAAAGGAAGACAACAACGGCACCTAGCATTATATGGATACCAAAAACTACAACAATAACAAAAAAACGACAAGACAACAACATTCATAATGAACATTTCCTACGCGGAGGCGCCAATTATTGTACTTCGGACGAAGCTATTAAGATAAGCTGGCGACAAAACACTATCCCCCCATCACTAACACTACCACCATCAGCGTTGTCGTCTACGTCGTACAACCACGATTGGAACTTGGAACACGAATTTATAATAAAATTGTTGTGCTACAAATTGGCTGTTATTTGGTTAATCTCGCTGGCTGGAAATGAAATACATTTTGAAATAGTTTATAATATTTTATTAATTATAAACAATTTTGAAAAATTATAAAAAAAACGCTGAAAGGTGGCTAAAAACGGGGTGGTTGTGAGAAATGTGTAAAATACGTGGTTATAAAATGTATGTTTATACATATGTTTGAAGTCAGTTTAATCAGTTGGGGAAAATAGTCGGAACCGAAAATTTTGAATGGTGAAAAGTGGGATTTAACAATTAACCATTCTCCAATTAAGGTGGCTATATTTTGGCATTCTGGGTTCATGAAAAAAGATATCTTTCAATATAAGTTTCAGACGAAAAGTGGTTGCACCTGTAATTTAAGTGGCCGATAATCCAGAGCTCATATTGTTATTATTTGAAGGCCTCTTTATGTTTTAGGTATTTTGGAGACTGAAATCCTGAAATATTGATGTCAAAAAAGTTAAATATACAGTGAGTCACAGCCAAAGTATCGACTTGTTTTTTTCATTATAAAAATTCATTATAAAATGTGCAAATAGAGGCAGGACTTCAATGATAGAGGCATTATGAAGTTACCTTTAAAATAGCAACAAATAATACAACAAAACTGTGCATATTTGGCCTAAATCTGGCGTTCCGAAGCATGTTAAATAAAGTCCAATAGTTCATATAAAAATAATGGATTTCTTTATCCCCAACCTAATATTACAATCGACATTGCTTAAATTTCCCATTTTTTGAGTTCTCAGTGGGTAAAACATCCCCGTAAATCATTTTTATAAATGTATTAAAATACCACCCATTTAAAAGTGCCACCATATTCTCAATATGTAAAGGCCTTCAGAACTCTTTTTTGGAAACAAGTTTTCGAAGAAAATGTCCATGTATTAGGTACTTTGGAGACTGTAAATTATCATTCTAAAATCTAGATGACAAAAAAATTAATTTAGTTCCATGTTTTCACATAAACCATATAAGGGTAACGCACCGGTTTTGACAAATTCCTAGAAAGGTCTCGAATGATTTCAAGTAATTTGTTTAAAATATTTCACCACCGCAATTGAAGTGGTTTATAAAAATTGTCTTCATGGAAATCGCCACTGAAAGACCTTTAGGAAAGAATATTTGTACTATAATATTTTTCTTCATATATAAATATATCCCCACCTCAATGTTAAAAATCGTATCCTTTTTGTAATATTATAACCAAATTTTTAAACCTTCCCTTTCTTTACTTCGATATTGATATTTTTGTTCTTATAAAAAAACATTATTACTACGCGTCTCTTATCGCACCTAATAAAAGCCAAGAGGAACTCAAAAAATATTTATAACGACAATACGAATCGAAAACAGGCGCACCAGACAGACAGATGGACGGACATCCAGTTAGTCCAGCAAGTAATTTAGCTAACCAATGACAATGTCGTCAACGACAATGTCCTAAAAGAATTTTAAAAGGTTCGTCGTCTTGTCTGTCCCTAAAGACATACCAATTTGAAAACAAAAAAGCTGGACAACAACAACAACCTGGCAGCCCATTCAGTCAATCAATAAAGTCAGCAGCAGCAGCCAAATGAGAGAGACTGCAGTCAAACATAAATGAGAGTTACGTTGTCCAGTCCAGTCTGGGTCATTTCGACAAGCAACCAAGTGACTAGAGTTATCCGACAACCAAGCAGACTGTCATTCATTTTACTTAACGCGATATAACTTCTTTTTGTCACAAATAATATGACTCAACGTCATGGAAACGCCGCTACAGCAAACCCCACAACAAAAACAACAGCGCCGGTGAAATAAAAATTGTCGCGTGTTTTCATATTGGATGTAAATGACATCGTCGTCTGCTATCCTATTAGGCATTCCAAAATACAATAGGTCGCTCGTTTGGCCGGTCGGTCTATTACAGCGGTCGCTATTAGAGTCTGCCTTGTTTCAATTAGACTTTTTCGACATAGCCAGCCAAACGAACCATCCATTTAGCCACCGAACAGCAAAACAGACTAATTGATTTCACAGCGGCAGGTACACCAACGCAACCCAACAGCACACAACAACACCAACAACGATAGAATTACTATCGCTATTAATGTTGACCGATAACACTACTTAAAGTGGCCAGTAATTAAGCCGACACATTTATCCTCACTGGACTCCCTTACGTTAATGCAAAGGACCTTCTGTCTTTAAATGTTTATGAGCCTTTGATGTAACCACTTCTTCATTCATTCATAAAACGAAGGAAAAACTCCTTAAGCAGTTGTTCACGCACCCACACTCACACACAGATGTCTGAGCAGAACAGGTACACCAGTAATGTGCGTTCGGTTTTCCGGAAGTAAAACTCGGAAATGGCTTGTTATCAAAGTGTGTGGCACTGTTTGAATGAGGGACAGGATAATTTATAGCTGCACTTAATTGTTGTGACCGCCTTCAAACATTTGACAAACAATTAAAGGATAAAATATAGAATTTTGTTGGAAACGATAGAGAAAAAAATAATGGGGTGTTTAGATAAACACTTTGTAGTCTTTAATTGATTATTAAATTGTTTTTGAGTTTTAAAATTAATTTTTTTATTTCTTATTGTTCCTTTCAGCTGCATTTCCAATTGCCCGTCGCATTGGTCATCCCTATCAGAATCGCACACCACCCAAGCGAAAAAAGCCACGCACATCCTTCACTCGCATCCAGGTGGCTGAATTGGAGAAACGGTTTCACAAGCAAAAGTACTTGGCATCTGCGGAGAGAGCGGCACTGGCGCGAGGTCTAAAGATGACCGATGCCCAGGTGAAAACATGGTTCCAAAATCGCAGAACGAAATGGAGGTGAGTTACGAGAATTTTTAATATAAGAACTTATATTTCTAAATAAGAAACAAAAACCTAGCATTGATTATTATTGGAGAGTGATCAAGAAAGAAATTCGAAATGCAAAAATTAAGAAAAAAAAAGCTTTTTAAAATTAAAATACCTAAAATACATTAATAATAGATTAATTATTTTCATTTACATTTGAGACACAATTAACATAACAAACTAAACGTTTTTTATGTATTTATGTCAACGCATTTAATGTATATACATACATATGTACAAAACACACACACATATATCTATCTGAACAGTGATTAAGTCATTTATTGTATTGTCATTAATTAATTCCTAATGAGAATTTAACTATTGATATAACAAATATTGGTGTTTTTTTTCAAATACAGTTCGGAAAATTAGTTAAATTTTGCTGTTATCTAAAAACGGTAATGCGTCATTAATTGTGTATAATATTCGTTGTTGTTTTTATTAAAATGTGTTATTAATGAGTCATAAAAAATATTTATTTTATTTTTGTTCAATAAACCCCAACCGTCGCCCCATCACCGCCTCCAAAAATTTGTATCGATAATAGGCAATTAAAATCGTATCAATTCGTGGCAGACATGCAATGCATTTAACCAGATAATCGTTATCAAATGGGAAAAATATTAATAATTATTATATAAATACATTTATATAAATATGGAAATGATATTCATTGTCTAAAATTAGTTTTCATATGTAGATTATTTAGGGGTAATTAATTTTTTTCCATGAGCCAGAGGAATGGTATTTTAATTACAATGAACTTCAAAAAAAATGCATCGATAACAGAAACAGTGTCTGAATAGAAATTTGATGCAATTATTGAAATTCAAATTATATATATATTTATATAAATTAACGATATATTTTATGTCCTTGAAATTTGTGCAATGAAATTAGTTTTTTCAAAACTTTCAAACAATATTTTTATAGTTTTCAAAATATATTTTTAAAGAAACCACGCCCTTTTAGAGTTTTCAGTTTTTCCCAAAAACTTTTTAAAAAACCACACATATTATAGAGCCACAAAAACTATTTTTAAAAAATCCTCTTCTCTAAAACCCGTCGGCTATTGTACAATGGCTTTATTCATTTTATAGACTCTTTTCTCTATTTATATTTTTTACCATTTATAAATATAATTTATTTTTCCCAAATTGCATCAACAATTTGTCAACTCTCCAAAATATCGTGACTTGTCAAAATTTCATTTACATTTTATGAATAGCTTTTTGCTAATCTGCCGAAAATCTTGAAACTTTTCCCCCCACCATAACAACAAAATGACGCTGCTTACACAAACAAATGAAAATGTTAATTTTTCTGCGATAGTAGACAATAGCACGACTTGTTGTTACACAGCAGAAAACCGCATGTTGGCAAATTCTAATTGCCTGTGAGCTACCGCAATAAATGAAAATGGCTGGCATTTACATTTAAATTGATGTGATTTGCTCACTCTGAGACAAACAAACGCGGCAGACATGCAACTGGGGGAAAAGGTAATTTAATCGCGACGGACAACAAATTATCATTTTTATTTTATTTAATTATTAGTCGTAGTGTGTGTTTTTGCTTTATTTAGTAAACTTATTTTAGCCAACCACCCACAAAAAAATCTATTAGTCATTGTTTTCATAAATTCCCATATCTTGTTGACAAAATCAACTCAGAACACAAATCATTTAAACTGAGTTAGTAAACAGAAAAAAACGAGAACGCTATTGGTCCCATTTATTGTGGGGGAAATTCAAAAGCAAAAACCATCCACTAAAATATTGAAATTAATGATGGCCAATTAAAATGAAATTCATAGCCAACAAATGTCATGCATGACTCGTGACTAGTCATGAACGACGACGACAAATGCATTATGGCCATTTGCCAATTGGGCCATAATGGCTCCGGCACAATGTGTGATTAAATGTTTCCCTTGTTAATGGACAAATCGTCTGACCAGCGGCCATTAAAAATGTAAATTGTTGACGTGCAGTAATACTGTCAACTAATTTAAGGTAATATAATTAACGGGCATCTCGTTTAGGGGGTAGAATGTTTTCAAGTAAGGCAGCCATGTTTGTAAGGTTTTTTGTTGGTGTTTTTGTAAAAAATTTAAATAATTGAATTTTTTTTTGTAAAAGTGGCCATTTTGTTTTTTATTGTCCTGAAAATAAATTTGGGGAGTTTTTTTTTTGGAAAAGAGAAATATTTTTAAAAATCCACGTCTCTTACAGAGCTTTTAAAAAAATGTTTAAAAAATCGACGCCTCTTATAGAACCTTTAAAAAATCAACGCCTTTTATAGAGCTTTTAAAATATATGTTCAAAACACGGACGCCTCTTATAGAGCCTTTAAAAAATATGTCTAAAAAATCGACGCCTCTTACAAAGCCTTTAAAAAATCGCCTACTCCTTTAGAGCCTTTAAAAAATCGAAGCCTCTTATAGAGCCTTTAACAAATCCAAATCCATATTTGTTTTAAGTCCATGCCTCTTACAAACCCTTAAAATATATATTTTTAAAAATCAACGCATCTTACAGAGCCTTAAAAATATTTTTAAACAATCCACGCCTTTTTTATATAAATTTTCTTTAAATTGAGCTATATGAAGTTGTATGGCGGCTATACCAAATTGTAGGTCGGATATCCCATTTTCAATACCAACCCTATCCTATGAGCGAAATGTCATCGTAATTTCAACATACAGAAATTGCTTAATTCTATTTAATAATTTATTCTCATCATATTTAGAATTGAATAAAATATTTAAATTATATTCAATTGTAAATATGCACCATATTATCAAATAAAGTACAAAACTCGTCTATCATAGCTTCGTTATTATTATTCTTCATCCATAAATATGAATGTAATTTTCATAAAATTTATTTTGCAATAAAAATGAATAGCAAAACGAATGAACAAAATAAAAAAAAACACCCGACAATTTTCTTATAATTGAAATGTAATAATGAGTAACTGCTGATGGAGAAAAATACGAGAATTCAAATAAAACACATGTTCACAGATTTATATGTGTAGCCATTACCATAATTAAATTAAATATGTAGTCGCAGTTGTATTTACAACACAAACAATAAAGATAAATTAAAAAATATGAATAAGCAATGCTGAGAATACAGCGGCGACTTGGCAGAGAGAAGATAAACATTAATTAATCAAAAACAGCAAAAAAACAATAAAACAACAACAGCAATTATTTTCTGCAAATAAAATTAATTTCTAATGTTCGTGTGTAACCATTAAATTGCCATAAAATAATGGTTACGATCAATGAATGGTTGCTATTATTTTAAATTTTAAATTTTTTTTTCTTTTTTTTTTGTGGTATAAAAAATGATTATTTACAACTAATAGACAATATGTGTCTTTACAATAAAAAATTGGTAAAACGTTATATATTAAAACCTCTGGAAAAATAATAATCTAATAGATCCCTGCAGTTTCCAGAATAAATTAAATATGTCTTTAGTTACCCATTCTTTATTCTGTAGACCCACATGTTATCCTTTTCCAATCTTTTCCTTATCCACACACATATATTTAATTAATTAAATTGTCATCTTCATTAAATTTGACCTTTTCACTCTCGATCTCTCACTCACTATTTCTCCTTTGGTTTCGGAGGTAGTAAAAGGCTCTTCTTTCAAACATAAATCTTCTTTCCTGGAAAACTTCTTCCTTTCTTTTGAAACCATTTGCTGTTGTTGCCTGACAATTAAATAAGAAATAGGAAATGTGTTGAACAATTTAATTAGTTAAAAGATATATTTTCTCTCGAGTGCCAGACACTCACACACTTTCATATTAATTGCCATATGTGTAATGTAATTTATCTTCGAAGATGCTGAAAAACACAAACAAGACAACCAACTTTATTTTGTTGAATGATGATGGGTTACTTTTGGTAAATTAAAAATTGTCGAAAAGAAAGAACAAAGTTTTTACTTTTTGGGAATGGAAGTAAGAAGCAAAACTATTTTAAAATAAATAGTTTGTTATGAACTACTTTACCACAAATGTGGTTTTGTTGGTGGGGAAGTGAAAAATATTTGAAAGCAAATATATATTTTTAGAAAGATATTACTAAAAATATTACATGTTAGGAGATGAATAACGTAGGTCAAATTGAAAATCTAAAGAAATAAAACAAAAGTGATGCAAGAGAAAAACAAAAATTTCGTGAATTCAAAATTGAGGTTCTAATTTATAGGTTATAGAAAATTTATTGATTATAATCATAATAGTTCCGTTCCAGAACCTAAAGGATTCTACTCATTTTACATGTTTTGCAACTTTTTACTCGAAAACCGTTCCTCAACCCAAAAAACTCGTAAAACATTGACTCAAATTTAAGAGAGAACAAAACAAAATGGCGTTCTCTTTGTAATCTTTTTACTCGAGAAATTTGGTCGAGAAAAAATGGTAAAAAGGAATGTCTATTTCTAAAAAGTACTGCAACTGGAACTATGTTATTGTATATTGTTTTTTTTCTTTTTTGTTATATATTCCTGTGTGTGAAACCCAAAATCGAATACCTTAAATTATAAATTCAAAAAAACAAATCTAACCATTTTATGTTAAATACGGAAATAATATGAAGATTATTATTTATTTCCTAAAAATGTTTATGAACCCATTTCATTGGAAAATATATGTCTATCCCATCTAATATGCCATTGATATAATATTTCTGACCGATAAAACAATCACATTCATATCCTCAAAAACGAATCTTCTTCAAACAGCTTTCAAATTTATTATTATTGCTAAACATTTCAATCTTTCTTTGGGTAACCCCTTTTTCATAGCACCAAAAAACTTCGTATTCGTTACATCGTAAATACAAATAAATATATTTTCTTGGTAATAATAGCTTTATGTTAATCATAATGTCTTAAGTACTCATGAAAAGTGTATTAAATATTTATGCAACAAGAACAACAACAGCAACAACAACCCTGCTTGCTTTTAATACATCCCTCGTCAGCAGCCGTAACAGGAGTTTGCGCAGTTGAGTTTCAAACACACACACTTGTCATACAACTGCTGGAGAATGGAAACCAAAAAAAGGACATGGGAGGAAATGGAGCTGAAAAATGTAAAAATAATCTAAAAGGTGGATGATGGTAGACTAACTCCTCCACCTCCCCCTCCTCATCATCAGCAGCCATATTGGATATATCACTTAAATCATAGAATATTTTAACGTCTTGTTATAGCATACAGATTGTTGTACGAGATGTTGTTGTTGTTGTTTTCGTTGTAATAACATAGTAGTTGCCACTAAAAGTTTTCTCGTTATCGTTTTATTGCTTCTGGTGGAGAAGGACAGAGAGGGAAATGTATTAAAGTTATAGTTTGTTACAAAGTCTTTAGTGAAATTAGTTTTCATAATGTTGTCATTGAGATTTCTCATGTATGATTGTAATAACACCAATAACAACAACTGTCATTCTCTTCACACATATGCAACTTGTAATTATCTCTCTGTTTGTGTGGCAATCAGGCAGCAGTCTTCGGTATCTTACCATTTGAGTTATTAATTATGAATTCATTCATTTGTGTGATGATAAATGTATTAAGTTTTACAAGTACTATGCATATATATATATATATATATATATGTATATATATATACGGCAATATGTGGGAATATACATATGAATAACAAATTTTCTTCGGGAAATTGATTTAATTTTGGTTTTCGTTAAGTTTATTAGCAGAAACGACTAGGATGGGAATTTGTTAGATGGGTTGATGAAAAGTGTCTTAGAAAATTATTTCAGTTTGATTAGCTTAAGTAAGACATTTTGATTTTTAAACGGAGAAATTGGGAGCATATTATTTTTACTGAGATTTTCAAATTGGTAATACTTCTAGAAAAATTTAAATGACAGTAAAAAATGAAGAATAAAAAATTACTCTATCGGGAAAATATATTTTGAGATATATTATCGATTGACATTTAACGTAATGGAACAACACTTTTAATTAATAATTACATTTAAATATGTCGATATTGCCATATTCGTCTGTTAAAACCTCGATCGGCAACAAATCATACAACAAAATGGTGCATAACGGCCCAAAATCGGACATTCCGAAGCATGTTAAATGAAGTGCTATAGTTCATATAAAAATAATGGATTTCTTTTTCCCCCAACCTAATATTAAGGAGCATCCTCCAAAAAATATGATATATTTTTTCGCAACTCATTCAAACTCGGCACTCAAAATTCCATATATTGACACCAAGCTTCATATATCACTAATCACGGAATTATTCAAAATTCTCTATTCTCTATCCTTTTCAAATCACTAACAACTTCCTTCATTGTCCTCTAAACTCAAAAATCTCTTCATCATTCTTGTCAGACACACACAACACAAAATCTAATTGTTTTAATGGCTAATAGCTTAATTTCAAATGGCCAACTTAAATAAATGAAGAAGGCCACATAAGAATTTTTGCTATGAACGATAATTGTTGTTCTTAAAAAGTTATGAAACTTGTGGTTGTGTACAACAACAGCAACACCAAAATACAAAACATAATTTTAATTATCACCATCTTGATAAATCCTGCCAACGGCATTATTCTCTTCTAAGAGGATAGCATCTGGTCTCTGGAAAAAGTCTTCGTACAACCAAAAAATTTATTATTAAAATGGTTTTCTTTCTTAGGCTAAAAGCAATGGTAAATGGCTTTTTACATAATAACCTTTTTAAAGTTAAGCTATTAACACTGTTTATTGAAATTTATGGCCAAATAAAATTTAAAAAGGCCACAATTTCTAGGGGGAAATATTTTATGGTGACACTAACAGGGGAGGGGGAGATAATAAATATATAATAGGCATAACAAATATTAAAGTTTTGGGCCATACTTGAAATTTGCCCAACAATGGAATGTTTGTAATCAAATTCAATAACCAAAAAAACTAAATATTTGCTTTATTTTAATTAAGTTTATGTTATATCAATATTGTTTTGTTAATAAATATTTTATGGTGTCATTTTTTTCAATTCGAAATTTATAGATTTTGAACTTCAACATTTTTGGTTTATTTTAGTTCCAATGTAACTAAAAAAAGGTTACTCAAACAATTTACTGTTTTTATCATTTTTTGGCTAAATGGCCATAAAGTTACTAGGATCATATCCGCAAACATATTTTCCAATAGATTTTCTACACATGAATGAATGAATGAATGCATCAGTGTGTGTAGCTGTGTGCGTTTGAGTGTTTCACCATGCTATTCGTTTGAAAGTTGTTATCCACACGCAATAATTCATGTCGAACCCGTAAAGTGATTAAATAATAAACAACAAAATACAACAAAAACAGCAGCAACAACAACGAAATTCAAATAAATTGAAAAACTAATTTTCTGCACATTTCAACTTAACTCCAATTGTCCATAGTGGACCAGGAGGAAAATGAGAGGGAGGTGGTGGTAGAGTTGAATGTAAAACTCTCATGTAAAGAAAAACAAATTTTAAATTGAAATGCTTGTTTGCCCCCACTGCATGTTTGTTCGGAAAATTTACAAAGTATTTTGGGAAACTAATAAATCACATCCAGGAAAGGAAAGGAAAGGCAAAAATAAAGTAATTTGTACACCCAAAAAATTTTTAAATTGCCTGGGTAATTGCTTTGGGGGGAAGGGAAACAAAAATAATTAAATTATGAACTCCAATGTAAGGTTACTTCGTATTTGATTTGTAGATAGATGGAGTACACTTCTGACTCGAACATGTGAATTGACATATGGCTGGACCTCTCGCTCTCTCCAGACACATACATTTTAAATATTTTAAACTTAATATTTTTAAAAATAAAATTTATATTTTTTTCATTTATTCTTTCAGACGTCAAACCGCCGAAGAACGTGAAGCTGAACGACAGGCTGCCAATCGTTTAATGTTATCCCTGCAAGCGGAAGCCATAAGTAAAGGTTTTGCTCCACCACCATCCGCGCCGTTGCAATCCCAGCCTGTCAATGGGGCACCATTGGCAGCGTTGCATGGTCTGCAGCCCTGGGCCGAACCACAACATGCTGCAGGATGTTAAAAAATGGCCACATAGGGCAAATACAAAAATTTCGAGCATAGACAAAGTTGTGATAAATAAAAGAACAAAAAACAAAAATCCTTGTAAATACAGAAAAAACACTAGAACCCAATTTGAAATAAAGATGAAATGCCTCTTTCTCCCCACACACATATAAAATGCAATAAATACTAAAACAAATGATTACAAACTTCAAATCTTGTAGATTTTTATTCTAGTACGTAGATCTGTACAAAATAAATAAAAAACAAAATAATTTTAATTCTTCAATTATACATAATGCTATATATACAAAATATTATTACAATTAAGAAGAAAAAAAATAACAAAAATAAATCCTGTTTATTTAAATCTTTAATAACCGTAAAATGTAAATAGTTAATTTTAAAACGTTAAGTTAAACCCCTTTATTATTACAATGTAATTTAAAATAAAAAATAATAATGAGAACCTATTCTCAGAAAACAAAAATCAATCAAGCAATAGTTTAATAGACTCAGCTCAATAGCAATGCACCTTAAATCTCATTTTTTTCTATTAATGTACAATTCCAAACACCGCCACAAATAGCTAAGGTAACAACCAATCCTATAAAAAAAACAACACCACAACAACAACAATTATTATGTAGAAAATTAAAACAAACAAATTAATGTTGATTACAATTAAGTCATTATGCTGGTAACTCTACAGTGACAGCTATTACAACAAACACCAACAACATGAATATTCCAATGTGAAACCAGATTAAGAAGAAACAAAAACTACATCTTTATAATTTGCTTGTAATTAAACCAACAAAAAAATGCTTAAAAATTCAAAAAAAAAAAAAAATATACATAGAAAAAATTATACTTAAAAAAAGATATGAAAATGTTTTTTATTTTATTTGCAATCGCCAAAATTTGTTGGCAGATTTACATGATATGGTAAGTATTTTCTCACGACTGTTATTCGTCTAATTTAAAAAATTGTTTCTCACGACTGTTATACATAATTCGTCTAATTTAAAAATTTGAAATTGTTAAAATTTTCACGTCACGCTATTTCTAACACGCATGGAATTAAGAAAACGGGAACAAGTAAGTTTTCAATTATTTAATTATGTTGAACCTTTTAGTACATTTTTTAAAATTACCATTTCGGAAATTTGTCGCATCATGGGAATCTGCAAAAACTCGTGTTTTAACTTTGCCTGTGAGAAAATTCTATCTATTTCAATATTGAGCAAAAATTAATGCAACAATATATGGGTTCATGTTTTGTAATAGCCCCTATTTAAGGGTGGTTTGAAGGGTTTAGCATATCATGTTTTCAGAGGGTCGACATGTTTTTAATATGGGCCATGTTACGAACTAGTCCCCATGAAAAGGTCTCGTTTCTATTCCCTTCACCACACTGTGGTACAGGGCAGATGTTTGCAAAAAGCAAAAGGAATTTTGTTTTCGTAGATTCCGTTCAGGAATTTTTCGCTCAGGTTGGCCGGTCGTCTAAAATGTCGATTTATGCACCGGAGAATTTTTGTTCCGTAAACACAGCTCATGTAGCTAAAAATCCTTGGATGCCATTAAAATTAACAGAAAAAATCGGTTCAGATTTAGATATAACTCCCATATATTTCGTCCGATTTTATCTAATATTTGTCCGAACTCCCAATATTCGTCCGATTGGAGCAAAATTTTGCACAGCATACTGAGTTCTTGGAAATCCCAAATATATTAGGTTGGGGAAAAAGAAATCCATTATTTTTTCGGCAGATGCCGTTACTGATAGATTTCTCGTATAGTATCGATCAATCAATTTCAGATTTATGCTCCTTTCAGATTTATGACATTTCGTATTAAAAAATATTTTGCTGTTTTTTGTTTGGTGCATTCAGTTGTAAGTTACAGGGTTTTAAAATGGAAGTGAACAAAGAGAAAATTCGGTACATTTTAAAGTTTTTCTTTGACAAAGGCGAATATGAAAGCCAAGCGGCTAAAATTGTGAATGGTGTTTATGGTTCCGATACTGTAACAGCCAATTATCTGCAATTTTGGGTTCGTAGATTCCGTTCAGGAATTGTTGATGTTACAGATGCACCTCGCACAGGTAGGCCAGTCAGAGAAATGTTCGAAGTTGACCGGCATAAAACTCTTTTAACCCTTTCAGTGTTTTTGTCGAATATATTCGACATTAAAAATTACTCTCTTTCTTTGCGATTTTTCGGTTATCCTATGTACCGTTACAATTGATTTTTTTGTTTTTGCTGAAGGACAGACAAAACTGTCCGAGGGTTAAAATAAAAATTGCCTTTTTTCTAAACTCTGTGCCTTTTTATGATTTTTAATACAAAAATTTTAGATTTTTATTCCGACAAAATTTTTTTTGAAACTGAAGGGGTTAAACCATTTACAACTGACCAGAAACGGCCAGAATTGGCCAACAGGGGAGGTGTCGTGTTCCACCAGCACAACGCTAATCCACACATATCTACAGTGACTCGCCGTAAACTTCGGTAGCTTGGTTGGGAAGTTTTAATGCATCCGCCATACAGTCCGGACTTGGCACCAAGCGATTATCATATTTTTCTTGAATTGCTTAATTTCTTTAATGATAAAAAATTGGTATCTGGGGGTATAAATTCTACCATGAAAATATTTGGGGACGAATTATAGTTGCAGTAATAATTGTTATTGCATGGGAATTGGTGTCGTTTTTTATATGCGTTAATAACCCCCATTCTCGATTTTAAATATTCAAGATTTTCTTTGGGCTGGTAAATGAATACCAATGGATGTTATGGTTTGTAACTTTACACATATGTAATTAAAGATTTAAAAGAGAAGAAAAATAATTTGCAACATTTTGTTTCTTTTAGTGATTAGAGAAACGTGTAGAAATTTGGAACCGATTGGATTATTAGTTTATGAGTTATCGTGCCCGTAAAAACACCGCTTCTGAGCAACTCTACAATGAAGGAAATGCTTGACCAAAATTCCTCGAATTGTTTCTGGGTTACATTTCTGTTCAAGACATTTCTCCATGGTCTCAAATTCTTACGATGGCTATCCAAATAAGCAAATTAAGTTGTAAATAATACCGCTGGATACTTTTCACTGTGATGTTCCAATTGCTTGACAATAATTATATATATATATATATATATATTGAATTTATATAAATATTGGGGAGTTGATGTTTCCAATCTTCTTACAAATAAAGGTACATCGGCCATATAAAATTATCCCCCACATAGTTGGTATATTGTAAAATATTGTTTAGATTTTTATCCAAAAAACTGAGACAAAAGAATTTTATATATTAAATATTATACTATAAAAAGTATTAAGCAGAATGTATATTTTAATATTTCAAATAAAACAAAATCAACATTTCTAATATTGCTAAGCATACAACAAATGTATAAAGATGTTTGCTGCACATCAACAGTTCCCCCTTTTTATTCCACACACAGACGATTGACAGGAAGTTCTTTAACCAAGAGAGACCTTAATAATTATAGGTTAGAACACTCATCACAATCATCAGCTATCATTGTAATGATCCATCCAACGCCCGGTCTTTTTCAACTCATTTGACCATATGTCGCTGGGAGCCAGTCGTCATCATCTGAAGAGTGTTAGCGCCACCATTTACTTTAATGTTGAAAACAATTTTGAAATTTGTTTGTTTTGGCAGTTTGTATCAATTTTCATCCATTTCAACCTTTAATAATTTATTTTTGCCGATCGTTTTATTATTTCTTCGGTTTCTGTTTCAGTGGAAGACAATTTAGGAAAGTCATTCAGAAGCCGCACCTGAATCTTTCTAATGAGGTTAGTCGTTCACCGAAAGTTATGGATTATAAATCCATTTAAGTTAAAAAAAGAACTTTACGACCAGAATGGATCTTAAATGACTTAAAAACTATGTATGCAATTAAATGTCAACGTAAATACAAATATTAGATAGAAATATTTTTTTAATCATTTGTTCTGTGGATAGAAATTCAATTTGTATCAATATATCGGATTGTTTCTATTTTTAGTTATATTTTCAGGTGTAACAGTGTTTAAAGATCTAATACATAAAATTTAACCGAAGTGGAATTTATTCATCAACAAATTATGTCATATTTATCCATCCTTCACGAACCAGAACCACATCCAATTGAAAACAAACGAGTAAGCTTGAGACAACATAATTATCCAAACAACTCCCTCGTTTATTGTAAATATTTCAACAAATTGCCTCCCACCGCCACTTCCTTTCAAGAAATGTCGAAAAAAGAACAAAACGTCGAACAAAACAAAGACATAAAACATACAGACATTTGATTGATTATTGACCAAAGTTGTGGACAGTTTCATGTTAAACTAATCTGTTTATGTACGACGAACAATGTCCTTTTAATGTAATGTGAAAAGGAAAACTCCCGATCCGACTCCAAAGGAGAATGGCAAACACAAAAGAGGGCTTTTCAATCAAGGATAAATTAACTTTTATGTATGACCAGACACACATGCACATGCACACCAACATGTGTGATACTTAACCAATCAACTGACCAACCAACCGACCAACCAACTTTGTTCATTTGGATGAAATCTTTTAGCCTTTCGTATTCCTCATCTGTCGAGAAAATAAATTAAAAGTGAATAATTTTACCAAAAAAACAACAAAGAAAAAAGAAAACCAACAACAAAACATAAAACAGAAAATGAATAAACAAAGAAGTCAAACCGACAATCCAACAACACAATCAACTTATCGTTTTGACCAAAGCAGAGAGAATGAAAAAAAGCTTCGAAGGAAAGCAAACATCGCATACGATATGAAAGAATGGACATGGCTTACAATGTAGCTGGTAAGGTAATATCAAAGATGAAGGAGCAAATAAAGGTGGGGCTTCGGGGGCAGAATGTAAATTCTCAATGAAGAGGTAAACCAACACACGTGTGCCCAACTTGAAATTTGATGGACATTTATTTTTCTGCTCGTCATTCATCCCTGAATAA